AGGCGATAAACTTATACACATACTTCAATCTGTTGGATTCCAAAACTTTGTCTTAGTCAAGAACTATTACATAAACCTGCATCAGTGCTAATTATATTCATTACTTTGAGCGATAAATGGCTTGTCTCTGAAAATTAAGGAAATGTCTTCATATGATGAATAACTTAGGATGTTACGACGTGAAAGGAAACGGATGGCTAGCCGTCTGAGAACTTATGTGGCTAACCATACTGACGAGTCACTGCACTATAAATCATGGAGTCTTTTTGTTGAAGTATTCAAAGTAATGAAACCTTGTTAAGTGCCCTCAAGACCATTTTTGTTTTTTGTTATTGTCATTAGTATAATATTATTATTATCGCTAAAAGCGCTCTATATTCCTTTCAAAATTAACTATTTCAAGGCTTGTAAGACATTTCTGTTGCGAAAACGACCGGAAGCTTACTGCATCAGTGCTCTGCGAAAGACTGAATTGCCAGCAGAGGAGGAAGATTCGAAGGATGCTGAAGAGACCGAAATAAAAACTCAACTCACGAGAAATCCTTCAGTAGACCAGGTAGTTTTAAAAAGAATTTGATAGAACAAGGAGAGGTTGAGAGCTCGACAAATCAAGAGCAATTATAAATGGGTTGAAAATGGGTTTAAAATAGTGGCGTAACGCAAATTTAAATAAAATAGCTTTTAAGACGTGCACCCAGTTTATTTGTGCTGGTCAGTTCAGATTCTGTATCCATAAGGAGTGTTCATGATCATGAAACTGCTTGAAATTGGGCTTTACGGTCCTTTATCATTACCAACAAATTTTAATACGCAAGAGCATAATAATGAAATCAGTTTCTGTCCAAATCAAACCAGAGCCATTCTAGCTCAAGTAACGGATGTGGAATACGGCTGTAATGCAAATCCCACTTACATAGTAAAACAGTGAAAAGTTTTTCTGCTTTGAAAGACAGTCGAAAAAAGTTTAAGTTAAAGTAATTGTTTTGACACATTTACTATAATAAAAGTAGGTATACAGTAGGGATTTGAAGACTGAGAAGGCACTAATACTATATCTTAAATCAGCCGAGACATTGAATTTTTTAAAGCTAGGGTGTATTTTTAAAAAACTGCTATCGCTCTTCAAGAGATGCTGACCAGAATAAGCTTCAAGAATTATCAATTCCAGTCACCCACACTTCCGATCCCACTCTCAACCTTGAGTATACTGTTGGAGGAGGGTGTGCGTTCATTTATCAGAAATGCGTGCTTAAAGATGACAAATTTTACTTAGCAAACTGGACTTTTTGTTGCAGGCGTTTTTCCGCTCCATTAAGGTTTTCGAATTTTACCAGTGAAGGAGTTGAAGGAGTTTACAAATGAGTCAACAAGAAAAAAAATTCTATGAAATTTTATAAAATTTTCCCCGATGGCTAACCTCGCTTCTTTTCAGTTAATCTACCAGAGCGGAAGAGGTCGTAGCACATCCACAATTCGAATTGAGAAAGATTTCGAATCGGCAGCCACTTTTCCGAAGATAGCGATGAACAGTACTCAGAACGGGAGAAAAGGAATGAGCTGCAGGTCAACGTCCCAAATTCGAGAAGCACTGTCAATATAGCTTTGTAAGGTGTAAGTGCTAACATTAAATTTAAAGATACAGATATGGTTTAGTTGAAGGACATGCATCACACAAGGAATTTATGAAGCGTATTTTCAAACTGATGTAACTTGTAACATACTTGAAAGTACCA